TTTTCAATACATATATGTTGTATGATGATGAAATCAGGGTAGTTTATTCATTAGGTTTAATATTAATTGTTAAAAGTGAATAGAAAGTTGCATCTTTAAGATGCAATTATTTTTAATGTTTTACCCTCAAGAAACTAGATATTCAGAAATAATAAACATACTACATACAGTTTTAAATGCATCTAATACATTGAGATTCTTATAATTTCAGGGGTCGGACTGGAAAAATTAGAGTGCAGAGTCTGAAGATTGGATTGATATCTCTCTCCAAAGGTCTCCTAGAAGATAAATACAGATGTATGTAAGAAAGACCTTTCACATGCCAACAGTGTTTTTAGTAATGATGATTATAGCAATTTATCGAGGTCTTACTTTATATGATTTGCTAGTTATAATAGTTTTTATTTTTCTTAACCTTTCCTATGCATGTACCTGGTTAGACAAGAGGTGGCAGTGCAAAGAGATTTGGATTTGTGTGAAAGGAAAAGCTAATTGTAGGATCAGGATCCTTGATGGAGTGAGAACCAACTACAAGTTATATCTCATTTAATTCTTAGAATAATCTTTCCGTAATGTAGTCAATGTAGGCATTGTGATTTCCATTTTCCAGCTGAGAAAATTCATGATGACAAAGGTTAAGAGTCTAGTCAAAGGCTACAGAGCCAGGAAGTCAAAAGACTAGAATTAGATCTTAGATTTTTCTGACTCCAAAGCCAATGCTTTTTCTATTTCTGTATACTTCCAATACTGAAAAAAAAAAGGTGAAGATGGGCTAGAATCTTTAATGGACATAAATAATAATCCTAAATAAATATATTTTATAATTGTAACTAAATAAAAAGTGGTAAAACTTTTTTGATTTTATCGTGTTTGTTTATATTCACCAAATAAATCAGTGATGTCCCTTTAGCTGTAGGTTCATGAAAGGCATCTTGTCATTGGAAAAGACATATGTTCAGGAGCCAAGGAGACCTGCCTTCAAATCTCTACCACTTAGTGGCTGAGTGACTTTGGGCAGGTTACATGATCCTATTGAGTACTGCCAGCTAACAGGTAACCATTGCACAGTTCAGGAAGCTGAAATTTAGCAAGTTTTCTTCACCTAAAAAAAAGAGCTGATAATTTCTGCTTGGAGAGGAATTAGAGATAATATGTAAGAAGTACCTAGAAGTAGCAATAAACAATAGCAATTGCTGTTATGTCTCTAGACTACTTTAACATATCTTTTGATTTAATTTTGCCCACAAAATGTGAGTAACTGGACTCTGCCATGCATATTCTCAGATGAATTTTTATAGATAAATTCAAACATTTGGAAAGAGGGCTATGGATATTTCATGAATGGAGAGATACCAAAAAAGAGAGGATACTGGATCACAGATATTGTAAACATAGTTTTGTGTGTCTTCTGTGAACATGCATACCTTTAAAAAGTGTTTATTTTCTGGGATTACTGTGAGGTTATTTGATTTTGAATTTCAGGTGGAACATAATGGCTTGTTTTTCTTATATAGTTTGACAAGAATGTTAGTGAAAAGAGATGTGGATTTGTTTTAAATGAAAAGCTGATTGTAGGATCAGAAGGTGAGGGGCCTTGATGGAGTTAGAGCCAAGTAAGCAGTACAGAAGAAAGCTTTGCACAAGGCTTTGGTTTTGTGGCACTTTATCTAGAATTCAGATAGTCTTCAGCATCATAGTTGTAAAAGGATATCATTTCCAGAGCTAAAAAGTTTATCATTTCTATGATTAAGAAAGGAAAATGTTAATGAAAGCATCAGTGTCCCAAAATTAGAAAATAATTTTTATTATCATCTGTAATTTGGGGTTTTCATGTGTGCTTGAAAGAATTAGGGTTCTCTGAAACAGTTGGTGCTGAACTTTCTCTGAAACTAATGCAGATTCAGCCTCAAAGCTTATATCTTTTATAATTCAACACTAAACTTCCAGATTTGTGCAGAGGAAGCAGAACCCCTGCAATGAAAATTTCTGATACTTAATTCCATCAACAAAGTATGCTGTTTTAAGACTTAATAAGAAATCTGTTGCATTGCAATCTTTAATCTAAATCCTTACTGGGATATTAAGACTGGAAATGTTCTGG